AGGTGAGGAGAGATGTGTCCTGCGGCCCCCCCCCCCATTCCCAAGGTCCTGCAGTACAGGGAGCGTATGTAAATGGAGACTCATCAAGTCTATTAAGGAGGTGTGTAGCTCTGAAATTTGTTAAATCCACTGTTGTTCCATTAGCTGTTTGCATCCTTACAAGAGTCGAGGGAGATAGCAGGTCAAGTTTCACAGAGGAGAAAGCTAAAGCCCAGGGAAATCTGAGTCTCGCTCAGGGTTTCCTGACCAGAAGCTGGACTGGAATCTGGGTCTCCCTTTTCCCTGGCCAGAACTCTGAAGCCCCGAGAGGACAGTGATTTCCTAGCCATGGGCTTCCCTCGTCCCTCAGCCTCTGGTTTTTAAGGGAGCTAGGATGAGCCTTTTGGCACTTCCGAGGCTCCTTGCTTTTTGCCTAGCAGGCTCCCCACCACGTTGCCTCCTACGGGAAAGCTGGAGCCCCTAATGAGTGGGAGTTGGGGGGCAGGAAGGAAGGGGCACAGTTGGATCTGACTGCAGCGATGGCCACAAGGTGCAGTGAGCAGACTCCAATGAAGGAGGAGAGGGCACAGTGCTCTCAGCTAACAAACCAAACCGCCTTTTGCACTAGCTGCCCAGCTGGGTTCTTTTGTATTCAGAGCAGGAGGGGGAGTTTTTTGTTTTTGTGTTTGTTTTATTTTAAGTGCAGCTGCTATAGCAAAAGCTGTGAAGACCGAGAGCCACAAAGACGCAGAGTCCACCACGGGGAATGATTTCTGGCTGCAGGACTTGAGGCAGGGGTGGGAAGGGAGCCCCGATATCCAGGCGGCTTTCGCCCAATGGGTTGTACATGTCCGTCTTCCGTGCCTGCCCAGGAATGGCTCGGCTCAGCCTGTTCCGACCCCTTTCAGGAGAGCAGTTTGTTCGTTCTGTTTGTTTGTTTTGTTTTATTTCTGTCTCCATCCAAAGAAAGCTATGTTTTCACTTTGTAAGGGTTCTTACATGTTCGGTATGTTTATTACAAAAACATGTACAGACAATGCGGAAGTATACAAAGAAAACAGTTGATGACCTCCACCATACACACATACCCACATGTCTTCCTTCTCACCTTTTTAATTCCCAGAGTTACCCTATTAGCAGTTTGGTGTGTATGATTCCAGCTGAAAGACACACACAAACACAAACACGCATGCGCACATTTTTTAACAAGAATAAAATAATAGTACACGTGCTGTTCTGCAACTTTTTTCACTCAAGAATGTGTCAAGACGTTTTTCTATTTCAGTACATAAGAATCTACTTGATTCTTTTTAGCTGGTGTCTAATTTCTTTTTTAAAGATTTTATTTATTTATTTGAGAGAGAGGGAGAGAGCACAGAGGGAGAGGGAGAAACAGACTCCCTGCTGAGCCTGGAGCCCGATGCGGGGCCCGATCGCAGGACCCTGAGATCATGACCTGAGCCAAAGGCGGATGCTTAGCTGACTGAGCCACCCAGGCACCCCTGGTGTCTAATATTCTAAAACCTGCGTCTACCGTATCTTATTTACCAGTTCCCTTATCGAGGGACATTTAGGTTGGCCTTTATATGATAAGTGTTTCTTTCTTATATAAGATTCAACAGCAAACACACTCGAACATACATGGGCGTGTTTTTATGAGTGTATCCATAATCAAATTCCTTGAGTTGAAATTGCTTGGTCAAATTTCCTAGGTATTGCCAGCTTGCCCTCCAAAAAGGCTCTGCCATCTTACACTCCCATCCGTGGTACATGAGAGTGAGCAATGCTTTTTTTCTCTGGGATTTGACTGGAAGGCTTTGAAGATAGTTGTAGTTTACTTCTGTTGCTCTAAGCCACATCCCAGAGCCTGTCGATTCTCGGGTAACTAGGGGCTGGTAGGGTTGGTGAGAGCCAAAGGAGCAATACAACAAACACAAAACAAGAAAGAACAACACAACTGAGAGTAGGAGAGCTGGCTTCTAGGATCTCTCTGAGGCATTGGACAGGCTACTTTAAATCCCTGGGTGTCCATTTGCTCATCTATCGAATGCAGTTTTTACTTGCCACAATACACTGTTGTGATTGTTGTGAGGATCAAACGGGGAGGTATGAAAGTGGTTTGTAACCCGAGAAGCAGGATACACATGCCAACTGGTTATTCCAGTAGTGTGGTTATTATATCCTTAAATCAATGAGCTTGGAGAAGGAAACAGGGGAAGTGGGAGTTGAGTGGAAAAAATTACACAGATGAAATCTTTAAGATATTCTCAGCTTCCCTGAAAGTTCCCATGCCGTCGTCCTATATTCTTGGAGAACAAACCACGTTGGTAGTAAAGGCTGCTTTATGGTATCAAGAAGAATTGGGGCGCCTGGGGGGCTCAGGTGGTTAAGCATCTGACTCTGGGTTTTGGTTCAGGTCTCGATCTCATGGTTCATGATCTCATGGATCCTGAGATCAAGCCCCCAGCTCTGTGCTCAGCGGGGAGTCCGCTTGAAGATTCTCTCCCTCTGTCCCTTCCCCCACTCACGAGGGCACGCACATCCCCCCCCCAAATAAATAAATAATTCTTTAAAAAAAGGAAGAATATAGGTTATTGCCCTTTCATGGGAACACTGAAGTCTTCTGTGCTGGGCCTGGCTCCTAAGTCCAGTCCTCTTTCTATGACAACCCTATGCTTTGATTTGTCAGGCACCTAATAGGATTTTGGCCCCGTGCTACTTCTATAATCACCAGTGAGAGAAGAAATACACACATGAAATGCTTAAATAACCGTGTTCGGTGACTGCATAAATAGCTCTGAGTTATAGCTGAGGTATATGGGAGGATTAGAGTGAAATCAAATACCTTTTAATTACAATTTAAATCAATAGCCCAGAAGAACAAGTTAAATCATTAGCCAGAAAAAAAAAAATCCAGTTTTATCTAGTTCTTAAAAAATAAGAACGTTCTTATTCTTTAAAATAACCCAAATAAGTGCATTTTACAAATCAGAGATATAACATTAAGTAAATGTTCATTCATTTAGATCAGTGATTTTTAGATTACTTTTACCATGATGTAAAAACAAAAAATCAATGTGATGGGCTACTTCCTTTAACCCCAAAGTTAATTAAAAAGATATCTGTAAAATCATTGAAAGCAGAACCCTCGTGATTTCAACCTATTAATCAGGGATTTGAGGAGGAGGGTGAGGGGTGTTTTTACATTAGGAAGACAACCACCAAGCACACACACAAAAAGCTGTTTAAAAATGCCTGATTTTTTTTAAAAAACACCAATCTAGTATACTCTTTTTTTCCCAAGCAAATACATATTTTAACAAAACCAATAATACCATGTATCATATTAGAAAAAGCATGGGCCTTGGACTCAGATCTAGATACAAATTCCACCTCTGCGACTTCCTACAGTGTTCATGTAATAGTCATGTAGGCATAAATATATTTTTAATTAAGGAAAATAAAAAGTAAAATGCAAAGTGATCCTTTAAAAAATCTGGAGTATGTAGTTTACCTAGTCTTTGCCTCCCTCTTTCCTGCCTTATCGTAGATTAGAAGGGTCTTCGTTATTCTTTTTTCAACTTCCAGCATGATCGTAATTTTAAATGAATTAGTCCAAAGAGGTATCCCATTCTCTCACCTTCCCCGGATGTTGTCTCTGTGAATCTAGAGGCCTGGTGTGTGACTTTTCCTAAAAGGAACTTGGCAAATATCTATTAATTCACTCTCTGTCTTGAAACTTGTTTTGCTAGCATTATGGAGAGATGATGGCTGGACGTTATGGGGTGTCGAGAAAATTGGAGAAAAGTGTACTGTGGAGGGTCATAACCCATTTTGATCATTGAAGTATGGCCGGATATATTTGTCTTCATAAAAATAAGTTTGAAAGTGGAGAGGGAAAATCATCCATAAACTTTTACCTGACTGTGGTACTTTTATGTTCTCTTCTGATCATTTCTGTGGGTGTATTTTACATCACTATAATTCAAAGGTCCTTAGTATTTTGCATTCTTTGTCATTTTTGATGACAGCTTACTGTCTCCTTGCTGGGATTTACCATAATTTATATAATCTAGCCAAATCCTGGGGGGTATGGATTTTGGAGTAGCTTTCGGAGTTACATTTTAAGCTTTGCACACGGTCAAAAATTTGAACTTTTTCTTAGAGACGAGAGGCCAGGGAAGGTTCTAGGGAGAGCCACATTTTAATGAAATTAAATATATCTATATATCTAAACTACTTGAAGTAGTTTGTTTGTTTATTTATTTATTTAGTATAACGCTCCGTGTTTTGAAGTGTGTGTTTCACGGGCAGAAAGAGAGTTTCCCTATCTAGATTGTCATCTCTGAATGCCACTGTCATATCTGCCAGAGTCTACTGTGTAGTCCAGAGACTCCATCAGCGTAACCTGTTGGCCTGACAGGTGGTGTCCCAAATCCAAACCATTTTCCCCAGTAAAGAGTGCCCGTGTAGCTGGACGGATTCCCTCCCCTGGAAATTTATCCGAAATTCCAGTCTTCCCGGGGCGGGGGGGGTAGGGGGCGGTTAAGGAAGATCCATGAAATGCCCCCGCCCCTTCCTACTGTCAGGTGCGCCTCTCTCTTGACGGCCCCACCTCTGTCTAGACAACCCCGACAGTGTAGAAGTTTCCATCTCCTTTTCCTTTCCCTCTCTCTGTTCCCTCCCCTTCAGTTTTTTTTTCCCCCCTCCCAGGCGCTTCCTGCCTGGAAACAAAAGATTGGTCCCCAGCAGCCCACTCAGGGCGATTTTAGTTTTCTGCTCACCCTCTGATTGGCCCGCGTGCGGCGCAGAGCCCGGGTGACGTCATAGCAGACAAGAGCTAGGGAGCGGTTGCCGAGCCGGGCTCTGCCGCGGGCGGGCAGCTGTCGGCTGCGCACCGTCTGGGGGCTCGCGCGGGGGGCTGCAGCTTTCCCCGGCCCGGAGCAGGTGTGCGGGGCCGGGAGGAGAGCCGGGGGGAGCGGGCCGGGCCCGGGGCTGCGGCTGCGGCTGCGGCCCCCGCCCCCCAGCCCCGCCAGCCCGAGCGCTCGGAGGTAGAGAGGAAAGGTCTGGACAGGGTGGCTGGACCAGTGGCAGGTAAATCCCGCGACTCACGGCGCCCGGCTCGCTCGGGGGAGGGTGTGGCGCTGCTGGGCGGATTTTCTGCCTTCCCGGGGGGATCCCCCTCCTGCTCTCGCGGCGCCCCAGCTTCGGGTCCCCTCCGTGGCGCCCCCGGAGCCGCCAGACCCGGCGCGCAGTTCGCCCGATCGCGCTGGGCAGACGCGGACGAGTGGGTGTGTCAGGGCCACTCTCGGAGGGCCTGGACCCCGGCGCCGGGGCAAGCCCTAGACTCGCCGACTCGGGCCTGGGCCGCTGGAGGCCAAAGCCGCCCCCAAAGCAACGTCAGCCCGTTAGTCTTACACCATCTTCCCGCCCCCTCCCCCAGCCACAGAAGCGACGCCATCACCCCCCCCCAAAAAAAAACCCCACCAAGGGGAGGAGGTGTGGCCGCGGCCGGGACAAGTCCGGGGGAGGGGGAAAAGCCCAACCTGAGCAAACATAAAAAGTGACGATTTTCTTCTACGGGGCACCCTTTCTTTTATTTTTCTTTACCCTCCTCCCCTTTTTTGGTCGGGGGAGGGTAATGACAGGACGACTCATTTCTTGTCACGTGGAGACTGGAATGATGCAGTACTATCCCTAAAAAGCCTGGGGTCCCTCATTTGGCCTTTGTCTTTGTCTGGAGGGGGGCAAGGGTCATTAGGGGTCGTTAAGTCCATGGCCCCCCTCCCCTGTCCTCAGCACGCAGGGGGCCTTGCCCTCAGTTTGTGAACTGGCTCTGGAGAGAGGACTGACACACTTTGGGGCGGATTGAACATTTTAGATTCTTGCTCTCACAGGCTTTCCTTCCCTAGGTGGTGGTTCAGGGACGGGGTGGGAGGGCGGTGCCCGCAGGGAGGGAGCCAGAGGCCCCACTTGATTTTTTGGTCCCACCTTCCAGAATCCAGTGGCAGACTCTGGACTTGAGGGTTCTAGGCTGTGGTCTGTAGAAGCAAAGGACAGAAGGGTGAGTGGCTTGGCTTGGGGAAGCATGAAGGGGGTGGTTGCAGTGCTATTTTTTTTTTTTAAATGGCTTTCAGCAGGGAAGCCTTTAGCCATGTTAGTTTTGCTCCCCCCATGGTTTTGCAGACTCAAATCCAGGCCAAATGTATGGCTGTCTGAGGTGTTGGAACAGAAGGAGGTCCATTCCTGTTGGTGACAACACTGGCCCCGTTCTGGGATGACCGAGGTATAAAGGTCAGTGCGGTTTTCACTGGGCCATTTGCAAAATTATAATTGGGCAGGTCTGTGATTTGGTGCTTGAGGCCCCTAACCAGGGGCACCTTTGGGTAAAGGGGCTTAATCTGGTAATGGTTGACTAAGAGGGAGAGCCACATAAGCCTCCGCTTCTGGGTACAAATGTCATACCTCCCTACTCTATGAAAGAGGCAAAATGGGAAGAGACTGGCGTGAATGCTGGGTAAAAGCCAACAGCTGAGAATCTTGAGGCCAGAGGGACCTTGAGATGTCAAGGAGTGGACCCTCCAAGCCTCCAGGCAGGCACGTGGGCCTTGTAGGAGAGACTGAACAGAAAACGGGAGGTTCACTTGTGATGTGGATGCAGGCAAGGGGCCACAACACCCCAAAGGCGTTCCGACTAGCTGACCATTACCACAGGTTGCAGATTGCTTAGAGGCAGAATTGGCTTACAAAGCAAACGAACGTGCTGAGGTCTTTGGGGAGAGGGCAGCAGACGTGACAAGTGAGAAAAATGAGGAATAACTGGGGGCGGGGGGAATGGGAGGTGCTGTCCCCATCAGAGACTCTGCTATTGTGAGGTCAGAGACGAAGCTACTGTGAGGTCAAAGAGGGTGGCCAAGGCAAAAAGAAATCAGGGCTAGAAATCTAGACGCAGGTAAGCTCAGATGGAGCAGGTAGGAACAAAGCCATAGAGAGAAGAAGAAAGCTATGGTCTTAACCAGGAGCTCAAAGGCCCCGTTTTACCTGGTGAGATGGGGAAATGGTGGTGGTCGAGGCACATGTGGTTCAGCCCAGACTTAGGGGGATAATTTCTTGATATTTAGGGACTCGATAGCATTTCCATCCGTGTAACCTGCCTTCAGGAGCTAGTAGCTTTGGTCATAGGAAGGAGAAGAAACTCTGTGAATAGCCGACTCCGCAGTGGCTCTTTCCTCCTGGGTAAGGAGAAGGAAGAAGGGGGGCAGGGTCCCAAAGGCGATTAGGGGAGCTTCGAATCCGCCCAAGACAGGTAGGTTGACTATTTTTACACGGGGAGGGCCAGGGCCAGGTCTGGGATCCCTGCTGCAGGCATGGGGGTATTTGGCTGTGCTCCAAAAATGCCCTCCTTCCCGTGGGCCCATGGGACCCTGTGCAGGTGAGGGATGGTGAAAACCCCTGCCCTAGAACGTAAGTGCAGCTGTTGAGGCTTGTGGGCTGCCCTGTTGTCCCCCAGGCTCTCCACCTGCCAGAGGCTAGGCGGTTCCCTCTGCAGGGCCCCGGGTGGACTCCCCTGCCAACTCGGCGCTCTGCTGCTTATCCAGCAGGGGGCAGGAAAGGGCACGCAGCGGTGGCAGGGCCGGAGTCGTCCATTTCTGGTGTGAAGTGGGAGCCTTGAGATCAAGTAACAGCCTTATGTTTCAAATCTGATTTAGGGATACCAGAGAACCAAAGGAACCCCTGGGGCCTGGCAGTCTGTTTCCATTCCCTCCCCAAATGTGTTGCTTCCTCCCGCGCCCCAGGACTTTGGAAGGCATTTGCATTTACATACGGCGCAGTGATTAGTCCAGTCACTAATACACGCAGTCTACCCCAGAGTTTAATTGGAAATGTTAATCAGTACAATGGATCCATGTCTGATTTGCACATTCGGTCAATTATCTGCAGGTTGGGGCAATCTATGCTGCACCCGGGAGACGTGATGAGGGGCAAAATGGCGTAGCTATCCGGCTGGGGCTGCGGGCGGGAAGCAAAATGGGGGAGGGGGACCTTGAAGACTGGAAAGAGAGGAACAGTTTACTGGTGGGGAATGGAGATCGTTCCCAAGGTGCAATCACAGCAGAGCCTGGGCGGCTGATCATTGAGACAGAACAGGACCATCCTGGAGCCCACACAGCAGAGAGGGAGAACAGGGTTTTGCCCTGAGCTGGGAAGGTGCTGGATTTGGAGAAGGAAGGTTTTTTCGAGACTAGAAGACATGGAGCTGGGGTGGAACAAACCTTGGGAGTCAGGAGTCTGGTGTTGCTCTCTGCTTCTGCCCCTCTCCGCGGAGCCTTAGTTTCCCTGTCTTTGAATGATGGGGTTGGACGAGGTGGTTTCTGAAATGGTCAGGAGATTTTAGGAAGTGGGTCCATTTGTTCTTGGTCATGAAGGCAGGTCCACCATAGGACAACATCCCCCCCCCAAAAAATTTACCCTTTTAAATCACACTTTTTGGTATGCCCTGTGATTTGGTGGGGAAACATTATAAAACAAACCCCCAATCCCTGCACACATTTCATCTGTTTGAGCAGCGTGGTTTAATTTTTATTTCATGTGAATGGGAAACGAGAGGGGGAATAGAAGCCCAAGTGGAGAATCTGCTAGGGACCCTAAAACCAAGCCCCTGAGAAGCTCCGTGGGGATTTGATACAGATCTTATACAGTGGGGTGGGGGGCAGATGGGCACTTGTGGCACTAACTCCCTAACCCAGCCTCAAAACTGAAGGGCCTGGGATGAGGGTGAAGGAAGGCCTGCTTAGCGTGTGTATCCTTTTCCTTCCTTCTCCCTCATCTCTCTCTGAGCCAGGTGGACTTTTTGGAATTTCGCACCCTCAAGACACACTACCCCTAACTGCCGGCACAGTCGCGCCCTCTAGTGACCACAGCAGGGACACCTTTGGCAGAGCTCCTCCTGCGTCCCATGGCCCAGCTCCCTTTGCCAGTGCTAATCCCTTGTGCAGCTGTTAACTCCCTTCTTGAGTTAACAGTCCTTCCATTTGGCCTGAAGGAGAAACTGAGGCAGCTGCAGCTCCCTGCAGGCCGTTCTATATGGATGGGACTGGGGGTTGAGCAAGGACACCATCTCCCTAGTGCTTAGCCGGAATGCAGCAGAGCTGGGGTGCTGGTAGGCACAAAATGGGTACACTGATCCCTACCCCCAGCCTCCAGGAGGGGGCTAAGCCCCAGGTGCAGACACAGGGCAGTATAAACACACGACAAGCTACACATAATATGGCAGAGCCACGTGATACAGAATAGGGATTAGATCCGTGCCACGTACAGACAAGGCACAGGCCACGCAGTGCGACGCATAGCACAATACACAATACAGTGCAGACACTGTATCCATACACATACTATAAACATGACTGCACACCCCCGCATGACGGGATACAGGCGTGACACCCACAAAACAGCATAGATGGGGACGGCACGCACATGACTGGGTACAGGCACCCAGATACCGTGGGGGCACAGGAAGCAGCACAGATACACTCACCGCCCCCCACAGTGTGTACTCACATGCAGGACTCATCTTCACACTCCCAACAAAACACTCCCCCCCCCGCCCCCCAACAGGACAGGCGAGAGGAGTGTAGCCACCAGGGGGAGCGCTGCGTCCTGCCGGGCTCCGCACACTGGCTCCGGCCGTGCAACTGGTATATTGGAAGCAGAGAGCCGTGCAGTTCATTGGAGGCTGAGGCGAGGTGGAGGCAGGCCTACGGAAAGCTCTCGGTCTTGCACAGGAACCTGGAGGTGCTTGGTTGGTCCAGGCTGGTGCCTCCACTGCCCCCCACCCCCACCTGGCCTTCCAGCACTGTTCCCCACCCCCATGGGCGCTTGCTGCCATTCCCCGGGCTCAGGGGACTTTTTGTGGCCAACCTTCTTGAGCCCCCTTCCAGTCCTGCCCCTCTCTGGAGCTTTGGCAGCCATTACTCACCTACTCCCCACCCCGCCCCCTTGCAGGATGAGCTCACGAAGCCAGGGAGGGGGTGGGCACACCACTTAGTGGCCCAGTGGGTGGGATCTGGAAAGGCTGCTGGGAGTATGTGAGTGGGAAGCACTCAGGGAATGCCACGGCCCCCTGGGGGACACAGGCGGCCGAGCTCTGGAGTCTCGCCAGGAGCAAGTGGTGGATCTGGGGTATGGCTTGGTCTTCTCGTTCACCAAGGGGAAGTGGGGAATCCTGGGGCTTTTCTTGGCTCCCTGAGTCTTCACTTTTTCTCTCTCCACCTTTAGCTATCCCTCCCTCTGTGTCTTTGGATTAGGACCTGGTACATTCTGATACCCGCTGGTAGAACGTGTGCTAGCCTGGGACCGGCTTTGCTGGGATTTCACATAGAGGTGCTGCTTTTCTTGGAGGACAGACACGTGGAGGGAAGGCGGGGGCAGGGTAGGAAGGATTGCAGAGGGAAGATCCGTCTCCTCCTTGAGAGGCTCGAGCGATTGTGGGGGAAGGCAGGAAAAGAGGGGTTAAAGACCTTGCCTCCACAGTTGGACATGGAAACCTCTGTGGGGAAGATAGGGTAAACCATCACCCAGAAAAACCCCAGGATATACTCACCCTAAGAAATCTGAGAAAAACTGTGGAAGACCTCCCCGTAGTGGAGATTGGGTTGGGGAGGAGGGGAGGCAGAAGGAAGTTCCAGTTAGGATCAGAGGCTGAGGCCCTCAGCAGCTGTGTAATGATAGCAAATTAGGGACCCCCCCCCCCCCGAGTGCTTCCCACCGCCACTCAGTGGAGGAGGTTGCTGCAAAGGGAAGGAGGTGGAGGTGGGGGCGTGGAAGTGAAACAGCATTGCTAGATCTTTGGGAAGTTCAGGTGTCCCCAGAGCCAATGTGCATTTGCCACGATCTCTCGGTTTTCTGTCGGACGCTGGGCTGGACCACGTCCTGTGAATATGCGGCTATTTCCCATCTGTCCTGTTTGATCTAGTCCTCCTGACACTTGTGCAGGGTGCTAGGGCAGGTCTTCTCTGCGAGCTAGCAGGCAGAGCCAGAGTGAGTGGCGAGGTGACAGTTCTCAACCTGAAACCCCCGGTTCGTGCCCTTGCTGGACTCCGACCTCGCAAAGCCCTTTTTATGCTTCTCCCCTCTCTGATTCTCTGCCTTCTCGAGGGGCTTTCTGAAATCCACTGTAGCATGTGTGTGAGGTTTGGGCGGGTTGGCTGAGGGAATAGTAGCAGGTGGGGCAAGAGGTTCCTGCACCCCCACGATGCTTCTCTTGGCAGGTTGCCCCCAAGAAAGTGCAGCGGAGTCCTTGCGTCTTGTGGCAGCTGACGTGCCCAGCCCTGAGTCCGTGGGAGCTGAAGGCAGCCCGGCCCCTTCTCATGGGCAGCGCCCACCTGTGCTGAGGTCCTGCTGCCGTGGCAATAAGAGGTGAGTAATGGACTCCAGGGCAGGGAGTCAGGGATGTCCAAATCCAGGTAAAGGCCGTCTTTCCACCAGAGCTGCCAGTATTAAAGACCTTGCCTGGGCCTCACGAGCCAGGACTGGGTGCACAGCCCCTCCTTTCTGGGGCACTATGGCCCGTATAGCTGCCCTTAGTTTCTCAGTTCTCCTCGTTTCTAATATGGGAATGATAGCCGTGACCTACATCGTGGGGTGAGTAGGAGAAACAACTGAATGGTCATGGCCAAGTCCTTTGCAGTTGTCAGGCTCCGTCTAAGAGCTTCCGTGTAACCACCGACACACTTCCCTTCCAGCTGGCATTTCCTCTCCTCCTGCTTTCCGGATGTCAACGTGGCATTTCAGCCACATGCCACTGACTGACCAGTCAGTTCCTGAAATTTCTCCTGCTCCACACCTTTCATTTGACCTTCCTATTCAAGGCGTACCCCAACCCCATCTATCCCTGCTTCCGGGCCTGATGGGCTGAAACCTTCCAGAACCTTCTCTCTGCCTTCCCAACCAAGCAGGGAGCACTTCTCCCCCCAGCTCTCTAACAACACTTGAGCCCATAGAATATCGCATAGCCCTTATTTCTCAACTGCCGTCGATCGTTCTTGCACGGTTTCTGGAGTATTCACCTTGGCAGGTAAAGTAGACCATAAACTAGGGGTAGGGACTCGATTTCACAGGTCTCTCGTCTCTCTCCCAAGTGCCCGACAGTTCCCCGGCAGCGTTTCGATTTGGGGCCCTCTCTTCCTCTCCATTTCTTTCAGGTTCCCTGGCCTGCCTCTGATCATCGACCTCTTTCCCTCCTCGGGCAGCTGATAGGGCTTCTGCTGTCAGCTGCCCCCTCTGGCCTTCTGTTGCCATATGCCGCCGTCCAGCTACCTGTTTGTATCTTACGTGCCTCTTCCTCTTTGTCTGCGCTTCTGTCTATTTGTCAGTTACCCGGGCATCTCTCATAGTGCCCAAGTCAAAAGCGAGTGACCAACCAAACTTAAAAAAAGCAGAAAACCCCCAAAAAACCCCAACAAGAAAAACAAAGGGAGAACAAACAAGGAATACGCAGTGCAGTTCCCGGCCCGACAGGACAAAGGAAAAGCGCAGCTCAGCGGCAGGTGTTTGTGGGGTGCCTCCTCGTGAAGGGGAAGCTCCAGAGTTTCGGCCGGGATGTTGAGGGTATGAAATTACAGCCCTGCCGATACTGATGTATTCAGCTTCCTAGAGATGCTGTGGTAGGGGATCCTGTACAGACCTCGAGCGACAGAAGGTAACTAGAACTCGCTCAAGTCAGAAGCGAGCCCCGGGGTCTCTCCTGGGTGTTCTGTGGCAGCTCCAATAATAACCTGTATTTATCGTCTGCTGTTGCCAGCGCTGGGCTGGGCATTTTACTTGCAGGAGACTGTTTGATCCCACAGTAACTCTGCAAGGTAGGTTTTTTTTTTTTTTTTTCCTAATAATTACTGTTTTTGTTTCTGATTATAAAAGTGAGACTAGCTCAAGGTAGGTTCTAGAATCATGGTTTTGCCCACGAGGAGACCGGGGTTGAGAGGGGCTAAGTAACGTGCTGTAACTGGACACGCGCAATGGCTTTGGGAGGAAAGACACTTCCTGGAGAGTTTCTCAGCATCCCAAATGCTTCAGTGCTCACACACACGTACACACACTCTCATGAGCACACTCGTGTACTCTTGGACCTTCACACAATCCTTCTGCCTCCTTGGCTCACACTTTTCCCACCGGCCACATTCGTGGTAACGGTCACTCCCACCCCCTCACCCTCACCCGCGTATTTACAAACATGCTGCACGCAGGCCCACGCTCATACGACCACACACTGCCACGTACATTTTTATGTTCACGTTTTTGGAGTGACACACGCCCCACACTTGCCATACACCCCAGCCTCACGTTCTCACCCACTCACACCTTTGCGTTTTCTCACCTTCTCACACACTCACGGTCACACCTTCTCACCCATATCCACGCCGATGATAGAATCACATTTAACCCACAAATTCCTCCATGCTCACGCAGTCTACACGCAGACCCGACGCCCACTTTCCCTTGTCCACTTCTCATACGGCCATACATACCTCAGTTTTAGATGCTCTAACACATTTGCACCGTCATGGTCTCCTCCTCATAGTAAGACCCTGACACAGTTCATAACTCCTCGCAGGGACACACGCACATGCATACACATTCCCACCATAACCACAGTGTCACCGTTTCCGCTGTTACACCACTTTACTGTTTTACCCTCAGTATCGCGTGCTCTGGGACTCCTGCTCAGCACGGACACAGCCTCCCCACCTCTATCGCGTTCACACGAAATCGCACTTACACATGGAGACACGCTCACTTTGACGCCCATTCACGCTCATTTGCTCACCTTCATGCTGAGACCTGATTGCACTGTTCACCAAACTCACGAGCATGTGCCCTCAGAGATAGTCACACACACGCCTTTTCATAACCTCGGCCACTTTTACGGACACACATCGCCCTGCGCTCACACTCAGAGTCACACAGACGCACTCGCACTGACACACACCAACACCCATCTGCTCGCTCGCATTCAGTACTCACGCTAATTCACATCAACATGCAGTCACACTTAGGGCACACCCGTGCCTACATACTGACGTTTGCACATTCTTACGGGTTTCCATCCTCTCACGCTCACAGCCACGCGCTCCGAACCCTGCGCTCCCACATATCCCCGGGGGCACACTCTCTCACACTCATGTACATTCACATGTACGCCCTCTCCCTCTCCCACTACCGTTTCTGCATCACACGCGTTCACACTGGCACACTCCCCACACGCTCCCGTTCTTGCCCATTCTCACTCTTGTGCTCTCATACTGCTGGCACACGCCACACCACGCCACACAGTCCACACTGTCGCCCTCGATGCCCATAAATGAGTTCATGCACTCACACACAGGCCACTGGTGACGCCACAGACGGCCATGTAGGCTCACACTCACTCAGACTCTCATTCCCCCTGCAACGTCCCCCCTGAGGGGGGTACACTTGCTCACACTGGCCCACGTGCCCACACAGTCACTGAGGCATAAGATACATCGCCTCTAGCTTGACCTGCTCGCCTGAACGGCCATGGACTCTTCCCTGGACTCTCACATGGACGCATCGACGCTGACACATCCTCACATGGACACGGACCTACACCCCCTCACTGAGGTGGTCCCACTCCCCCACATCTGCGACTCATACATGGCTTATAGTGACCCCACGCTCAGGCACACACCCCGCATCCCCAAGCTTACACATGGCCCCCCGCGGATATTGCCACATCCACACACTTTTTCACTGACACACACACCATCACACACCCCACTGCGGGGAGTACAGTTGTCACTTGTTTTGCCCCTACTTGCCACTAGTGCTCTCCTCACCCCTGCTGGAAGGTTTTTCAGCAGGCTGTGGCCTAAAGAAGAGTGTTGGTCTCAGCCAAGGCACCAGTGGGACTAGATCTTTCCAGAGCCAAAAGGAGTGGAATTTATGTCTAGCATTAAAAAGGAAAAGCTCAAACCCACAGATCAAATCTTATGTCCTTTTGCCATAATTTTCTTTTATGGAAGTCATCTCTAAGAGAACCTTGGCTGGTCTATCCAAAAGGGGTTGGGGTTTAGATGGTTTGTTTTCTGGAAGTTTACGGCTTAACTTGCCACCTCCTTTCTCTCCCAAGGGGAGGGCAGGCTAAAGCATGTGTTTCTTTATGCACTCACAGTGGTTCCCTAGGCAAAAGTCTGGGTCTCTGATTGTATGTTTCTGATCTGGAATTCCCTGCTGTTTCCGGTAGGCACCTCTAGTCTAGCCAGGTCTACTTTTACCCTGTTAGCCCTGGAACATGGTATTCAAGTTTCTGTCGTGAGTGTGCATGTGCATACATAGACGCCACTGGAATTTCAACAGCTGCTACTGACAAATTAACAGAGGAAATTTCTCAGTAGGCGTGGATAAAGGCAAGCTGAAGAAACTTCCTTGCACTCCAGACAGACTGTAGATTTCCCTGCAAGAGGGTAAAAATAAGTGCAAATCCCAGGAGTGAACCAACCAGTAGATCAGGGGCCTGGTGCCAGAGTCCTGTGCCACACCAGTTCCCGACGAGAGATTTAGAAACATGAGATCACCTTGTAGGAGCCTCCTTAATCTATGGCTTCCCCTGCTGGAGCCTCTCTGGAGGAAAGATAAGTGCAAACTAGGCCCAAGCTGCCATTTGATAATGGACTCTGGCACCATGGGGAAAAGCCTGTACTCTGAAATACCACACACTACCTTCTACACCTGCAATTAGATTGAGACCTTCTTGGAAAGCAGAGACCACATCGTCTAACTTATTTTAGATTCCCAGGGTCTAGCGTGATGCCAGGCCCAGAGCAGCTACTTGTGAAACTCCAGTCAGAAACTGAAGGAGGTGGGTGGACAGCAGTGTGTCAGGACAGATCCAGTGCCTGCCTTCCTCAATCCTAGAATTCCAATGGCATTACCAGCGTAGACCGAGGATCTTCTGTGGGCCCTGTCGAGTGCTAGACCCAGAAGGAGATTCAGATGGAGGAAAGAAACATACCCTGCCCTTGAGGTACTTTCATTCGAGTGGGAAAGATGGCGTCACCATGCAACAGTAGCACAAGGCAACAGTCGAAGCTTGGGATTTGGGGGACTCTTTATCATCCAGTGGTCTTCAGGCTCCCAAGGCCTTGAGGGCCCATGGGTGGTTGGAAACAGCCGCCAGGATGTGGGGCAGTCATTTCCCAAAGCAGACCTCCTCGTAGACCTCTTGCCCAGCCCAGAGATATGCCATCTTTCCAGAAGATGGTGTAACGGAGCCCTTTGTCAACAGTGCCTAAGGTAGAGGAAGGAAAGTGAGGTGCAGACCTTAATGGAAATTTTGTACTGAGTTAAAATTTAGCCATCACGTCCTCCAAGAGATGGCTTTAGAAAAACAGCCTGGCAAA